TCACTTAAATCATTATAATTTCTTACATGTCTGGCAGTGGGAGAGCTACATAAAAGCATCTAAGTCACCCCTTCACTATGTTACATGCCCTATAATGTGTCAAGTAAGTTTAATTTTCAAAAAGATGAGAGGTATTTTTATTAGAATTACTTTTCATTTTTCTTACTTTTTGCAAAACCAACCCATCACAAACATAAATTCCACTCTTATGGTGGAAAGATTGACATTTTTGAAATCATGAGACCCAGAACATAAATGTAAGGCTACTGTCTATTCCTTACAAATATTACTGGTCTGTGTCCCAATCTGGATAACTGTGTGTTAATTCATATGCAAATCCTTGTAATAATTATCACTATTTCATATCAACTAGTCTGAAACTTATGAATGAAGATACATTGCAATTCATTATTTTTGTTTTATTCTTACACCTGCAGCCCTAGCAAAATAAGTACCTAAAGTAAAGACAAAAACTGCCAAAGATAGCTGGATTCCCCTCACCTTCTATAAATAAATGCCTCTGTTAAATCTCTATGTAGACTGTCTACCTAAAAAGAAAAGATAAGAAAAGAAAAAGTACTAAGAGTCTTATGAATATCAGTCCTTAAAAACAATACCTTAAGAAACAAATTAGTATAAAATGACCTACAAGAGACCAAAACCTCCAATACAGACGACCGTATTCACAATGTAGCAAGAGGGAGGAAAACAGGTGGGTGCCGGTTCATTTGTACCCTCATTCGAGAAGGCTTTTTCTTTGCTTACTTTGGAATGTCTTTATTGCACAAGTGCCTGAACCTTGCAGTTCAAGAAAAGAAAAGATAACAGTTAACCCTTCTCACTGTAGACATACATACATACATCAGACATAATACATACATACATAAATACATACATACATACATACATACATACATACATACATATATATATATATATATATATATATATATATATATATATATATATATATATATATATATATATATATATATATAAAAAGGGACATTGTAAAAAACTTCACACTGTCAGTGTGAATGCAGCTTTTGAAATCTCACAGAACCTTAGGACAAGAATTTAAAAGAATGCAACACAAAGAAGGAAATCAAGCCAACTATATTTGCAAGGGGAATTAGTAATATATTCACTAATTCAAGTAGATTTCCACTAACAAAGTCAGGTGAAAGTGGCAACATGAAGGTACTTTAGAAACTCTTTTTTTTTTAGAGAGACAATAAAGTTGATTTATATCATATATAGACTATATTTAAAACATTCTAAAATCCTTCCAATATAAAGAGTAATCTTTCTTGCCTGCATCCCAGTGTGTATAAACATGAAAATCAGCAAATCATAAAAAGACAAAATTAATCTCAACTCAAAAAAATAAAAAATAAAAAATACTTTTACGACTCTGTAAATCACCCTGCCACAAAATTCGCACCAACAGTCATGCGACAATTAAATACGCCTCAAAAGATTAAACCTTGGATAAAAAAAAACACAGTACATAAGAACAAGAATGCTCCAAAAGAATTGCATGCCTCCATAAAACAAGATTACACAGCCATTACAGCCAGGAAGAGATACACGGAGAATTCGCGCCTACAGGGATCCAAGCTGCTTACACCCTTTCTGTTATTACCTTCATTCATGTCCCTTGGTGGGGGAGAGGGGAGGCCATAAAGAGGATGAGTTTTTATGCAAATTGAGCTAATGATATAACGTCAAGAGCATTAAATGACCATTTACAAAACTGAATATTTACTTCCAGAAACTGGAGGCTAAGAACATTAATCTAACATCAATCACTCTTTTCCATTGTTTCTTTGTCAGAACTCACTCTGTCTGTCTGTCTGTCTGTCTGTCTGTCTGTCTGTCTGTCTGTCACCTTCCTCCCTCCCTCTCTCTCTCTCTCTCTCTCTCTCTCTCTCTCTCTCTCTCTCTCTCTCTCTCTCTCTCTCTCTCTCTCTCTCTCTCTCTCTCTCTCTCTCTCTCAGTTTCTCTCTCTCAGTTCTCTCTCTCAGTCTCAGTCTCAGTTCTCTCTCTCTCAGTTCTCTCTCTCTCAGTTCTCTCTCTCTATCATATCAGTTATCTCTCTCTCTATCAGTTTCTCTCTCTCTATCTATCTCTCTCTCTATCTCTCTCTCTCTCTCTCTCTCTATCAGTTATCTCTCTCTCTATCAGTTATCTCTCTCTCTATCAGTTATCTCTCTCTCTATCAGTTCTCTCTCTCTCTCTCTATCAGTTATCTCTCTCTCTATCAGTTATCTCTCTCTCTCTCTCTCAGTTATCTCTCTCTCTCTCTCAGTTCTCTCTCTCTCAGTTCTCTCTCTCACTCTCAGTTCTCTCTCTCTAACTCTCAGTTCTCTCTCTCTAACTCTCAGTTATCTCTCTCTCATCTCAATCTCTCTCTATCAGTTATCTCTCTCTCACTCTCAGTTATCTCTCTCTCACTCTCAGTTATCTCTCTCTCACTCTCAGTATCTCTCTCTCACTCTCAGTTATCTCTCTCTCACTCTCAGTTATCTCTCTCTCACTCTCATTATCTCTCTCTCTATCAGTTATCTCTCTCTCACTCTCAGTTATCTCTCTCTCACTCTCAGTTATCTCTCTCTCACTCTCAGTTATCTCTCTCTCACTCTCAGTTATCTCTCTTCTCTCACTCTCAGTTATCTCTCTCTCAACTCTCAGTTAATCTCTCTCTCACTCTCAGTTATCTCTCTCTCACTCTCAGTTATCTCCTCTCTCACTCTCAGTTATTCTCTCTCTCACTCTCAGTTATCTCTCTCTCACTCTCAGTTATCTCTCTCTCACTCAGTTATCTCTCTCTCACTCTCAGTTATCTCTCTCTCACTCTCAGTTATCTCTCTCTCACTCTCAGTTATCTCTCTCTCACTCTCAGTTATCTCTCTCTCACTCTCAGTTATCTCTCTCTCACTCTCAGTTATCTCTCTCTCATCAGTTATCTCTCTCTCACTCTCAGTTATCTTCTCTCTCACTTCTCAGTTATCTCTCTCTCACTCTCAGTTATCTCTCTCTCACTCTCAGTTATCTCTCTCTCACTCTCAGTTCACTCTCAGTTATCTCTCTCTCACTCTTCAGTTATCTCTCTCTCACTCTCAGTTATCTCTCTCTCACTCTCAGTTATCTCTCTCTCACTCTCAGTTATCTCTCACTCTCAGCTCTCAGTTATCTCTCTCTCACTCTCACTCTCAGTTATCTCTCTCTCTCTCTCTCAGTTATCTCTCTCTCTCTCTCTCTCACTCTTCAGTTATCTCTCTCTCTCACTCTCAGTTATCTCTCTCTCTCTCACTCTCAGTTATCTCTCATCCAGTATCTCTCTCTCACTCTCAGTTATCTCTCTCTCACTCTCAGTTATCTCTCTCTCACTCTCTCTCTCTCTCTCTCTCTCTCTCCACTCTCAGTTATCTCTCTCTCTCTCTCTCTCTCACTCTCAGTTATCTCTCTTCACTCTCAGTTATCTCTCTC